GCTGACATCCTTGACATGAATTGACAGGCATGAATGGAAGTTGCCTGAACCTGTTTGGTTTGATTGACTAAATCATCGAAGGTATGTTTTATTTGAAGATAAAAGGTGTCATGTGATTTCTGCATTTTCACATATCCAAAAGACTCATCAACTATAACAGATGGGTGCATATGAACAAATTTAAAAGCATTATCAATTTCATTTACTAAACCATGCTGTTAGATAACTGTATTTTGGACATAAATATTTTTGGATCAGATGGTAGAAAGTTTCCCTTTAAATCCAACGCGAAATAAGACCATATCTTTATAGTAATTTGAGATAATGTAAATGAATACGTGGAAAATTTATATTTATTACTGATAGAGATCTAGCACGTTCAGATTGAATACAGACCAAAAATCCTAGTTATAGGTCAGTATATGAATTTGAAGTAATTTGATCACAATTTTAGATTGAAATTATAGGTGGTAAGGCTCTTTAATTAACTATTGCAACTAGGATGTCAATACAATCCTTAATTTATCATGCAGCCACAAGTGAACTTTAACAAGTTTCACAAGCTATGTGACACAGGGCGTGTTCAAACCTTTTGAGCCTATTGTTTATCTTCTATTGGTTTAGGTTCGGTGAACTTAATATACACTCAGTACATTTGAACATTGGTCAACATTTTGATAAAGTATTTGTGAACATATGACAACAGATTCTAGTTTTAATATGGTTAACTTTCCTCATTCTAAATGTTTGTTTGATGTCTTCTGTTATCAGCTTAGAATAAAGGTCAGTCAAGGTATTTGATTTTATGAATTTCATTTCTTTAAAAAACATATAAAGATATATAATCCTGGTCACCCTGATTAGAGTTCACTGAAACAGAGAGAAACTAGAACTGTTCTAATAACAGTACTGATGCAAGGCCTGTTACAACATTCAGGTACATACGAAGATGGTCTATTGCAATTACATTGATGTAAATACTTTTCTACATCTCTAAATGCAAATATCCAAAACTGCCTGGAGTTTAAAGTATATTGACTAGGAATAAAAGAATGTTTGTCAATTTGATGAAATTCGGATAAGAAATAAGAAAGTTGGTAATGTGCAATCCAATCCAATTTAAAATTCGATTATACACAAACATACCAAGTTTGAAGAAATTCGGTCAAGAAATAAGAAAGTTGGTAATGCGCACAACAAAAATTTAATATTTCCATCCAATTTAGAATCTGATTATACACATACATACCAATTTTGATGAAATTCAGATAAGAAATAAGAAAGTTGGTAATGCACATGCGCACTGCACAAATTAAGTGGGGGTATCCCTTTAATGTGCTTCTGTAAGCTGAACTTACAGTATAGCATGGTTCAATCCACCCAAGAGCTTATTTGTATACCATAACTGGACATAAAACAGTCATATAAAACAAATATAAAACGGAGGGTATCTTTTAACAACTAAAACTTTTCTATTGGGGTTGACAGCCAGGTTAATCTCATTAGCCGATTTATCTAATAATAGCCCCATGTTAAGTGAATGGGGTTTTGAATTTGCATGTAAGGTATGCATGTTATATATCTATGGAAAGCTCAGAATCTCTACATAACAAAATCGAAAGAATTATTGCCATATCTCTATTAGAGACCGAGATATAGCACTGCAAAAGCTCAAAATTGTCCATATTTAGACCCCTATAATTATTACTTCCGGTATGTATTTTTTTAGTTTAATAGGTTTGTATTAATGACACTAATATCATGCATATTTATGTTAGTTTGGGCATAACTCAAGTGACGTCACCAGAAGTACTAGCTTCGAAACCGGAAGTGATGCAAAAATTTTGAATGCATTTTTTTATTCCCCTATGCTGGCTGTCTACACTATATAAGTTTCAAATCTGTCCGACAAATAGCAACCGACATAGCATATTTCGATTAATTTCGACAAAAAAAAGTATCGAACTTATTTGCGAAAATCAAATTTTTTCAACTGCCATCATGTGTCCATTGTTATAAGAAGTAGAATAAAGGAAACCGGAGCAAAATCGGTCGATAATTACGCCCACTAGAGCCCACTTTCTGTTTGTTGCTAAAGTCGTTTCATGTTGCTCAGAAAGTTTTCGTTTTATATTCATTACTTTTATTAAATTTTCGTAGAAATCATAGTAATCAATGTTTTTGTTGAAGAGATTTGTGATCGTTACATCTCGTAAAAAAAATTCTATCTTAATAATATTGAATCCAATGTGTATGTCTGAAGAACTGGTAGGTATGCTATTATGTAGGTCTATATGTACTTGTATGTGTGCTATTATGTAGGTCTATATGTACTTGTATGTGTGCTATTATGTAGTCTATATGTACTTGTATGTGTGCTATTATGTAGGTCTATATGTACTGGTATGTATGCTATTATGTAGGTCTATATGTACTTGTAGGTAGGCTATATGTACTTGTATGTGTGCTATTATGTAGGTCTATATGTACTTGTATGTATGCTATTATGTAGGTCTATATGTACTTGTATGTGTGCTATTATGTAGGTCTATATGTACTTGTATGTGTGCTATTATGTAGGTCTATATGTACTTGTATGTATGCTATTATGTAGGTCTATATGTACTTGTATGTATGCTATTATGTAGGTCTATATGTACTCGTATGTGTGCTATTATGTAGGTCTATATGTACTTGTATGTGTGCTATTATGTAGTCTATATGTACTTGTATGTGTGCTATTATGTAGGTCTATATGTACTTGTATGTGTGCTATTATGTAGGTCTATATTATGTACTTGTATGTATGCTATTATGTCGGTCTATATGTACTTGTATGTGTGCTATTATGTAGGTCTATATGCACTTGTATGTATGCTATTATGTAGGTCTATATGTACTCAAACTCATGTATGCTATTATGTAGGTCTATATGTACTTGTATGTATGCTATTATGTAGGTCTATATTATGTACTTGTATGTGTGCTATTATGTAGGTCTAAATGTACTTTTATGGGTGCTATTATGTAGTTCTGTATTTTCTCTTATGTATGCTATTAATTAGTTCAGTATGTACTTGTATGTGTGTTATTATGTAGGTCTATTTGTACTTGTATGCAGGTCTATATTATGTAGTTGTATTTATGCAATATTGTAGGTCAATTGTGTCTAGTAGGGGAGTATTTGGTATTATATGCTAAGGTTATATCTTGACCTGGTAGATAATGACTGATAGTGGTTATAACCTTACACTAATTTCAATGATATTGTTTTTACATTCACTTTCACCTATTGCTTATTGTCATTATGACCAGGGGAAAGACTGTAATATAACAACATTACTTAACTGAAATAGTTCACTTTAAATTGAAAATATATGTATTTATATGGTTGGAAAACTCAAAAAGTCCAGTGGAGTATGAAGGATGATAAGACAATAAATACTAATCAATGACAAGTGGTTGTCAAGGACATATTTTCACCTCAAAACATGTTTATGTATGAAGTATATCTTCTGGTTTCTACTGTAGCAGGTAAACCTTGTTTAAAAGGATTGGGGATATCAATATTCATGATGTCACATGATTTTCAAACTAACCAATTAATACACTTTTACATTGTCATTTGATTAATTATTTTGTAAATTGAACACACAAACAAAACTTTTGAGTAAAGTATGAGTACAGGCAACCCCCTCTTGTAGGTTTTTGGAATTAGTTAAAATTCCCTCCCCAATATGACGTTATTTGGATAAAGTAGACCATTGTCACTTTTTTTTATAAGCGATTCCTAGAGATAACTCTTCTTTAAATTTTTAAGTGAATTTGATTAAGAGACTTTATCTCAGTTCATAATTCAAGGAAAATTACCTAATGAATTAAATCAGATGACTTCAGAAATATATGTAAGAAAATCAGTTCAATTTTTTCGGAGCTCTGAAAGTCCATTATTATCTTCGAGTGATATTGAAATGTAGTTAAGTGACTGGGACTTAGCACAATATTACTGAAATTGATATATTCCATCTTGTTCTGTGGACAACATGCTGAGGGTTTTCACTTATAGTTTCAAGGTTCATACATAGGCTAGGGAATTTGTCTATTGAGGTGGTGAAAAAAGTGGCACAATTGCCTACTCAATTTAGAAGAAACTATTTGTAGACTTGTGCCAAGACAAGGGTAATGCTGACTCATTTTGTTGATGAGTTATCACAACTGATTAATGATGCAAAGCTTATTCTCAAAGTGCTGAAATTAGCTTGATATCTGTTAGCTTCATATTATTATATTCTATTTATATTATGTTCATTCCAAAAAATATTAAAGAGGCCCCAATGTCTCCTACTTAAGTTATAGTTTATAAATAAATATATTTTAAATATGATTTAGAAGGGGCACTTGTCTTGTCTTTTTCTCATCACAATAAATTGTATATTTGGTTGAGTATCATCTAAAGCATAGAATCCGAATAAGTTCAAGAATTGTTGCATCCCTACCTAGCAAAATTGAAACAAATTTCGAAAATGCAGCATGGAAGAAAGTTTCCCATACAATTCCCTACTTCCAAATTATCAACACCCATTTGACACATTGTATCATTACATTTTTTGCTTGTCAACATGTAACAATTTTGTATGTGCCAGATAAAACTGGTGAATGGCAATATTTTCCTTCTGCTTTGTTATACAGAAATATTGATATCTCTCAATATTTGCCATGGTCTTACACGAATATAAACTTCAAGTAATCTCTCTCTGTTTTATCTTTTCAGGTCAGTAAATGGTAATAGATAGTACTGGTAGATACAATAATAGTTAGTATAGCAGGAAGGAAACTTCTAGATTAATATCATCATGAAGAAACGAGATGTGTTATATTTACTTAGAAACATATTGTGTAATGTCAAACTACTCTTATTGCTTCTTATGACTTTGGTATTGATATACATATTCAAGTCCAGATCAGCCTCTCAAGCTGGACATGTGAATCAGTACATTCAGATGAACTTACATCCAGATTCTAATAGCAACAGAAAATCAGTATCTGAACCAGATCTAAAATGTATTCATCCAGAACTGGACCCTAATCATCCTGACTTGATCAAATTTTTCTTTAAAATTCCCCCTTTAAAGTGTGCAGCAGAAGAGAACTGGGTTTATATTGTTAATGGAACGTTCTATATCAATAAAGCCTCGTCGGACGCTAATGGTGATATAACTTGTGACATATATCCTATGGTTAGGAAAGGAGATTTTGATACAGATTATGGAGAAGCCATTAAAGATGTAAAAAACGGAACTGCCTTGAATTCTGATTTTATAAGAGTTGATTGTAAAGCTAACAAAGATGATAACAACTATAGTAACGTACATTGTGGAATAGCATATCAAAAGGAACTACATGAGCGCAAAATAGATTTGCCTCCCAATGCCCTTAATATGGATTTCTTAATGGTGGGATTTGATTCCATATCTAGGATGACCTCCATTAGAAAATTGCCAAAAACAAGAGACTATTTTTTGAATACTTTGGGAGGATTTGAACTTTTTGATTATAATATACTTGGAGATGGGACACCAGCAGCCCTGTTGCCAATTCTGACTGGACAAACAGAAGAAGAGTTGCCTGAAGCTAGAAGAGGCCATGCAAATGCCAAAACAGTAGATGGTCATCCTTGGATCTGGAATGATTTCAAAAAAGCTGGCTATGTCACCACTTATGCAGAAGATTCCCCAGGTGTAGGTACATTCCATTACCGTATGAAAGGCTGGGAAAAACAACCAACAGATCACTATATGAGGAATTTCTTCATTGCAGCTGACAAAACTAGTAAGAAAGACTATTGCTTTGGTTCAAAACCAAAGCATATTTATTTCTTAGATTGGTTGCGAGATACATTTGTAATGTATCGTGGGAGGAAAAAATGGACATTTGGTTTCCACGGTGAAATTAGTCATGACGACTCTAATAAAATTGACTATATAGATGAAGATATCCGTAAATTTTTTGAATACCTTCAAAATAATAGTCATCTTGAAAACACTTTGTTGATATTTATGAGCGATCATGGAGCTCGGTTTTCTAAAAATCGTGAAGCTGCTCAAGGTAAACAGGAAGAGAGAATGCCAATGTTTTTTATACGATTTCCTCCATGGTTTGAAAAAAAATACCCAGATGCTATGAAAGCGTTTAAGATCAATACTCATAGGTTAGCCACTCCATTTGATATACATGAAACTCTAAAGGACTTACTAAACTTTACTGGAACTGGCAAGGGTGATTTGAGTAAACGTGGGATAAGTCTGTTTAAAGAGATTCCTAAGGAAAGGACATGCCAGCATGCTGCAGTAGAGGTTCATTGGTGTGCTTGTCTTGATTGGAAGGCAGTGAGCCCATCTGATCCTCTATTAAAAAGGGCCTTGCAAACTATTGTCACTAAACTCAACAAGCTGACAGAACCACATCGATCTTTGTGTGCTGTCTTAAGTATTAAAGAAGTTAAATCGGCTTTAAAATTTATTACTAACTCTAAAGTTTTGGCATTTAAAAAAGCTAAAGACCATGATGGTCGGATTGGTGACTTTTCTGCGAACACTAAAGACAGTGAAATCTTATATCAAATCACAGTAGTTACTGAACCTAATAATGGTCATTATGAAATTACAATCAAACACATTGTCAAAACTGATGAAATGACGCTCAGTGAAAAGGATATAAGTCGAACCAATATGTATGGTCATGATCCCGATTGTATAGCTGCCGATTTTCCTTACTTAAGACCAATCTGTTACTGTAAAAAGTAACGTGTGAGAGTAAAATGCTGGTGTATATTTTTATATAGATAACATCTCTTGAGTTATCTGTCATTCGTTCCAAACTGTGTTCCAACAATCAGGCCAGTGTTAAGCCCCCTTGACGCAAGTATTCCAAATTTTTTGAACAGCAAAAAAAAAGTCACGTATTGCAATTATATACATATATTTGACTTGAATACCTACAAATGATCATAATCAATAATCATAAGTCTAATTTGGAGTAGTAGGTAATAATATCATCTCATTTCAATCCAATTTTCAGATGTCATGTGTACTAGTTTCTTCTAATTTACACACTCTCAATATTATTAGATATGTGAACACTCAGACAAGATTGTTAAGGTGTTCTACAAGTATGTGCATGATCTGCCATAATAAATCTATTAGTGGAAAGCTCGTCATAATTGTAAGAGGGTTATCAGTTGGTGATTTTATCACATCAAGTCTAGAATAAAAACTGAACACTTTGTAGTGTCCTGATGTAAACAAGGCTTTTGATTCAATAGATTAATGTTAACTGGTTTAATAATGACAGTAGTTTATTGGTCTATTGTTATGTAATAATTATACCATATAAACAATATTATCTACGTATGTGACTCCTTCAACAGAAGATTACTTTTGTCTTTAATCATTTCATTGTGTTGCAATTTAAAAAGCTTCCAAAGAGGAATCTCATTTTGTCTTTTAGGTCTATCGATAGTAAACTAAGTTACTTTATGAAGGCTGGTATAATGAAAGCAATATATATCTATACATGTCAATTATTTAGTGTTAAATTAAATCAAAGTATAAAAATTGACCAGTTATTGATACCAACATTATCTTTAAGGGATACAAATTTTATAATTGCGAAAAAAAACAGCCATTTAGTTTAATTTCTAAAAAGTGATAAGGATAGCTGAAATTGAGATCTGTATCAGCCAATATTAAGATTTTTTTTAAATTTAACTTAAACATCAGTATCCAGGTGTGTTTTCTTACTCTTATATTCTAAAATGAAGAATTGATGAAATAAGATAATGTGTATTGAATTAAATTACATAGTCATGTAATTTTTGAGAATAATTGAACATAAATAAGGATATAAAAGTAAACTTAGTGTGATATAATGTGAAGTGTCTTATATAAATACTGTTCTAGTGTATATTTGTGTTCGTGATCAACATGAAAGAGCAGTATTACGAAAAAGTTTTTCATGAAGTTCAATAATGTTGTAAGGATGTTCAGTGTTTATTTTAGTTGTACTTTGTAATGGTGCATTTCCAGATAATTTTCTTTTTCAAAAATAGAAAAACTGTTGCAATGGTTACATTTGTGACAAATCAAGCTAAAGATATGACTTGGATTTATGTCAAGATTGATGTCCATAATTTTAATACGTTGGTATAAAGTCAAATTTTTGTCAGTGGAAAATGAATTTGAAGACTTTACACAACAGAAAACATGCAAATGTCTGCCAAAATTTTAAGCTGTTTAAATGATCTTGATTGGAATTTTGATTTTGAAGTTGCAGACAAACCAGTCATCTTTAAATAGAAGTTGAAATAATAGTAGGACTTCTAACACAGAAAAAACATTAAACATGTACGCCTATTGGTTTGCACCCTTAAAGACAGATTTTCTGTATGATAAACATTTTGAATGATATATTAAAACTCATGTCTGATCAACATGATTCTATTAAGTAAACACTATAACATCAGGGTGTGGTGTTTTGCCATAGTAATGTATAGGGATTTGTTATTACAACGTTTTAAGGTAGAATCTGAATAGTTTATAGATTTCTACTGTGCTCATTTGCACTAAAATGTCACGAATGCCTTTTTTGGGCTAAAATAGTATTTTATAGATTTATACTGTGTTCAATTGCTTTCAAAAGCCTAGAATTAGTTGTAGTAGCACTTATTATACTCCACTGTTATCTTCATAATTCTGTTTGCAAAATACATTATTTAAACCTATTCTAAAACTATTATTACATAATCTATTTAAGTATATATTTATTTGGGTTTGTTTTTAGTGAATGTTTTATATGTGTATATTTGAGGAGTTGGGAATTTGTCATTTCAGATGAATATACACCCACGTACAATGAAGAAATGAAAACGGGTTAAAGCACTGCTCAGAGGTGGTGTATATCAAAATAAATGCATCCAGGAAAGAACACACAAAATAGCTAGTGCTTTCACATCACAGATCATCAGGCTTATTATTTATATATATATATAGCAAACATTTTTATTCTAAAAATAGTTTTTGAAATTAATCATATCACAATAACTTGAGGATCAGAAATGTGGTTTGATGTATTTAATGTTTGATTGACCTATTTTCTGAAAGGGTGACCCTATACTTTCAAGATTTGCGAAAATAATAAGCTCCCAGCTCAGCAGTAAGATGAATGTGAGTGTCTTCCAGGAAAATTATCCATCAGGGCAAATTATATTTATCAGGTTAAGTTTATAGCAGAGTGGAAGAAATGTGAGTATTGAAAATATGCAAATTACTAGAAATCATTGAAAAACTATGCATTTGTATAGATAGGTGTGATTTTTGTTTGGAAAATGAGGGCCTTCATAGATTTCTTTGTTGGTCAATCCAGGAATATATCCCTACAAATGTATAAGAAACTGATTTAAGATTCACAAACAGTAGTTTCCAAAAAAGGAGTTAGATTAGTCTAGCCCATTTCAACAGAAAAACAGAAATAGGTCTTCAATTGCAATTAAGTACAGTAAACTCAACAATACAGATATATTTTGTAAAAGAAAAGGAATCAACAAATCTCAATAGAGTATGTCAAAATATTTTCAAATTTTTATTTTGTGCCAATGCATTTTGAATAGTATTTAATATTTTCATCATAGCTTATATCATGATTTTTACATATCATATTATATATAAAAACATTCCATCTGTGCTATATTAATTAAATTATGGATATTTAATTCCATATTTGTCATGTTATTTGTTTAGCCTTTAGACTGATAAGATTTATTTGAAATAGAATTACTAGAAAGATTGTAATATTCTGTATCCTACCATGGCCTTCTTCTTTGTATGATCATGTTCATTATTGCTATACAATGTTTTTTTTAAAAGGTGCGGAATTAATTAATTTATTACAAATGAATTTATATTTTCAAATCGAGGTATATATAGTTGTCCTAGTCACAATATTGCCTACTGACTGCCCAGTCGATAGCCCACCTTAAATATTTATCCGATAAAAATTATAGGTAACATTTGTAACAAAGCAGAATTGTATCACTTAAATCAATGTAAATATTAATTTGTAGTCCCACATGAGATCTTTCATGAGAATGGTGATTTTTATGTTCATTTGAACTGTCTTCAGTCATAATCAAACATTTCACTAAGTGTTCATAATATATGTGTTCTTAAATAAACGTATTCAAACAGCCATTGTTATACCTTGAAAGAGAGTCCAAAATCCTGCTCAATACCAATCTAAATCCATCCTATTGTTGCCTGTGTAGTATCAAGTCATAAGACATAAATTATGATTTATTCCAAGGCCCTGAATGTTTATGATGTGTACCAGGATCCCAAATACATGTATACATGCATAGTGTCAAACTCTGAGTAACAACATGTTTTTTAAGTTCTGTTTTAATAATCCTATATCGCTCTACAATATGGAAGGGTTTTTGGGTCTAAATAAGATGATATGCTAATTTGTCTAATCCATTGTTGAAATGTTTAGAATGTCTAAATACTTAATATGATACCGTCAACTTTGTAATATTGCTTAAGTAAATTTTAATAAAACAAATGTGTTTTGTCATTTCCTCACTAATTAGCCTACACATTTAAATATCATTTTTGTATTATCATTTTAAACATATCATTTTTATACACCCACATGAAATGGGGGGCGTATATTGCCGTCACCTCATTCAGTCGGTTGGCCCGTCCACAATTGCTCGTAAACACTCTACAAGGCACAATTCTTGACTGATTTCGATGAAACTTGGTATGGTTGTTTGTAATCACCCAAGGATAAACCCTATCGAAAATCAGAAAAATTGAAAAATATTTAGTATTAGTTATTGCCCTTGTTCTTGAAAACGCGTTAAATTTTTAGTTCAAAAACACTCTAGAAGGCACAATTCTTGACGGATTTTGACGAAACTTGGCATGAGTAGTGGTTATCACCCACGGATAAACCGTATTGAAAAACAAAAATTGGAAAATATTTAGTATGAGTTATTGCCCTTGTGAAAACGCGTTAAAATGTTAACTTGTAAACACTCTAAAAGGGACAATTCTTGACGGATTTTGACGAAACTTGGCATGAGTGTTTGTTATCACCCAAGGATAAACCCTATTGAAAATCAGAAAAATCGAAAAATATTTAGTATGAGTTATTGCCCTTGTGTGAAAACTTTTTTTCTGGAAGCCACGCCTTTTGACCTCATTTGCATATTGCTATCAGAAATGTTGAAAATGATATGTCGAAAATGATTTGTTTAAAATGATAATACCAAAATGACGGTATCATAATAAGTATTAGACAATTTAACAGAGCATCTTATTTTGACCCAAAAACCCTTCCATACTACAATTGATTTGGGGAGTTGGGTGGTGTAGGGGTCTCCGTGTACTTGTACTGTAATGGGTTAAATCCTACATTTGTTTGTGAGGCTTTCTTTGTCTATCAAGCAACCTAAATGACTTATTTTTTCTTTAATCTATCCATCAATTTGGGCTCATCGAAAACCATGTGTGGCTGATGAATTTTTCATTCTAAGGGACATTAATAAGCTAAATATAGAAATTGGTGGGACGATCGAGTTTTCGATCTAAACTGAACCCTGCCGATGTCCACCGTCTTCAGAAGATACATCTTTTAATACAAAAGTAAATCAATTATATATATCATTATACAATCTTTCAAAACTAGTTTTACGCACACCAAAAATAAATACGTCTGCTACTATTGTTGAAATAGGATTTTGAAT